TTGTGTGTTTAATGTTTTTCATTTTGTTTGTTGTGTGTTTAATGTTTATTTTTCTTGATTTTTATTCTTTTTTTTGTTTGTTTCTTTTCTCTAAATCTCCTGCTCCTGTTTCCCTCCTTTGTTTCCTCTCGCTTCCTCTCTGTTTTACTTAAATGTTGTATTTATTATCTTTTCTTTTCCACTCTTGGTTTTTCCTCTACTCCTTCCTTTTCCCTCATTTTCTCCTTTCGGTTTATTCTCCTTCATCTTGTTTCTCCTGAAACTTTTTTCCTTCTCTGACGTTTTGTTTCAATCCACATTTTTCTTTCATTCTTTTTATTCCTCCAATAAATTCCTACCTCACCTATTCTTTCCTCCCTCCTCCTCCACTCTCCTCCTTTCTCCTCCCAATTCTATCACTCCGTTTTTCTCTCTTCTCTTTTCTTTCTTGTCCTCCTCTCCTCATCTTCCTACTTGCATCTCTCCCCTCCCCTTTCCTTACATTTCTTCTCCTCTATCCTCCCCTCTCCTTCCTGCTTCTCATTTCTCTATTCTCTCCTCCTCTCCTCTCTCTTCCGCTCCCCATCCTTTCCTCTTTCCTTTCCTCTTCTTTTTGCTACTCCCCTTTCTTCTGTCCTCTCTCCCCCGCTCTTTATTCCTCCCCACTTTCCTTTGTTCTCCTCTCTCCTCTTATCCCCTCTTCTTCCCCGTTTTCTCCTCTCCTTCCTGCTTCTCTCCTTTCCTCTGTCCTATCTTCTTTCCTCTCACTTCCCCTCTCCATCCTTTCCTCTACTCTCCTATTTTCCTCTTTCCTCTCTTCTTTCCACTCTTCTCCCCTCCTCTCTCCTTCTTGCTTTTCCCCTTTCTTCTATCCTCTCGTCTCTCCTCCCTTCTCCTCTTTTCCTCTGTCCTCACCTCTTTCATCCCCTCTCCTCTCCTCTCTTGTTTCTTCTGCTCTCTTCTCTCCTTCCTGCTTCTCTCCTTTCTTCTGTCCTCTTTTCTCTCCTCCCCTCTCCTTCTCTCTTTTCCTCCTTCCTCTCCTCCCCCCTCCTCCCCCCTCAGAGGAGCACAGTGTCTTGTATCTTATGGTTCCTAAGCCACCTGACGGCTCAAACCAGCTCAGGGTGAAAGGAAAAGGTCTGAAGCAGAAGGTCCTTCATGCCGGCTGTGAATGGTACAACAACCGAGTCAAAGTTTTGTTTTTAACGCTGCGCTGCACAACGTTTGTTGCAGAACTTCTTTTGCAAAAAAATATATATATATATCTTTGAGCTGACTCGTTTGTAGCATTGTCAGCACGATCCCCTGTTGGACAAGCATGTACGTTTTTAGCAGCTGGTTGACAGTTGAAGTAAATGTTGCTTCAAAGTGTGAATACATCATCAGAGGGCGTCGAGAATAAAAACACAAAAACAGTGAATACCTTCAGCTATTACATTTCCTTTTTTTTAGCTAAAGCGTTGTCTTTGGAAACTTGAAATGGACTCTTTTGTTTTAATTATTACACATTTCAATCTAAAACTATCTACTGGTTAATTCTAAGTTTTAGCTAAACTCGAGAGTTTAAAAACACAGGGCCTCGTTGTTGCACTTTTTTTTAAAGTAATGTGAAATAAAGCAGGTTAAAGTCAATCTTTAGCTCATTGTTCATTAAATTTAAGCTGGTTTGACACTAAGTCTGCCTTATGAGCATGTCTGGTGGTTTTAGGTAAATATGATACACGTTGTAACTTTAGCTCTTGTGTAGATATTTAGTTGTCTGTGTGTAGCTGCCTGTTTGTGCGTCTGTGTGGGAGGTTTTTTGTCCGTCTGTCCTGTGTGGCTCTGGGAATCCATGCAGTCTGCCTTCATAGGACGAGATGTAATTATTTTGTTGTTCCCTCATCCTTCTTCTGCTTCTCCACCATCCCCTCGCCTCATCACATTTCTCCCCTCCAACACCACCTCCTCTCTCCACCCTCCTCAGGCTCCTGCCTAGAGATTCTTCGGGGAGAAAGTCCGGCTCTTGGGGAGGCCGGGAGCGACTCGCCGTCCCCCATGTCTCCTCGGACTAGCAAGACCCGGATGTCCATGAAGCTGCGACGCTCCTCTGGATCTGCCAACAAGACATGAGCGCAGACGCAAACTCGAACTTCACCCGACCACGAAACTTTACTTCCTTTAAAATAATACACATGAACGCTGGAGTTTTCTCATGGCTGAACAGAAACATCAGAGGATGTTCTTCTTCCGGTTCTTCACACTTTTTTTTTTCCTGCACAAAACTCACACATCTAAAATATACGTTTACGTCTGCAGCTTGGCTTCAAATTAAACGTTGCAGCTGCCCAACGACCGAAACAGCACAGGATTAGTTCATAAACACTCTGTGCCATATGAGAAAGTGCACAAATATTAATCCAACTTTTTTTTTTTTTTTTTTAGTGTGTTACAGTTTTAGAGGATGTTTAGTGAGATAAAACTTTGACAGACGCACAAGTTAAATCGCTCACGCTTCATTCAGAAACAAATTTTAGAAAGAAAAAAAACGTGTATTTAAAAAAAAAAAAATGTTCACACAGTTTAAAATAGGAAACGCTCCCAGTCTGAGCTGGACTGAACATTAACTAACCCTTATTCTGTGGGAAAATCATAAAAGTATTGTTCATCTTAAAAATAAAACAAAGACTGAAACACTCCAAACCTCTTTAAAACACATTCAAGAGGAGGCACTTATTTAGCTTTTTATTGTAAACTGTGGACAAGCACTGACGTTCATTACCTTTATTTTTATTTTTTTGTTGTAAATCGTGTTTTCACCAAACGAGACTATATGCTGTATTTTTCTGTCCCACAAAGCAAGAAACCACAGCTTGTCGCTCTTCGTCCTTTTGTCTATAAATCTGTATTCTGTATATCTATACGTGTATGAGTATAAATATATATATTAGATACGTGGATGTGTATGAGAACATGTACATTGTGAGGAAGCTTGTGTATATAAGGGTGTGAGAGAAGCTGCCAAAGCCAAACTGTAGTTTAACCTCAAACCACGAGGAAAATAAAGAAAAACAGGTCGACACTATAAGATTTTAAAAAGAACCCCCGATCAGTTTGCACTTTATTCACTTTTACAAACACGTCGTTACCAAGAACAAATGAGAAGAAATCTGATCTGTGCCACATTTCCTCACGATATTCGCTGCAGGTTGTAGACGTCTCAACGAGTGAGTTCTCGGGCGGTGGTTTTTCAGTTTGGCTCGTCACTGAATGAGCCCCGGCAGTTTTCTGACCAACTCCGTTTTAGCCGTAACGCTGGGGTGGAAACGGCAACAAAATGTGCTGCAAACCAACAGCAAAAAAATAAATAAAGAAGAGAATCTCAGTTCATCACTTCTTCTTTTTATTATCAACCATTTAAGCTGCTCCTGTGTTTAGTAGACTACCCAAGTTTTCAAGTGGGTGGAAGTATTAAAAAAAAAAAGACTAAAAGTTTTTGGATTTTTTTGTGATTTATGGGGTTTATTTGGATCAATTTCTGATTTTGGGTCTATGATTGCTTGAATGTTTTTTAATGGACAAAGTGATCGATGGTGGATTTGTAAGACTTGTATCTGAAAATATAAATCAGGTTTTTGCAGTTTTCACAACTATGTTCCCTTTTTTTATGGATTCTCTGTAGAAAAACGAAATTGCATACAGTTTTGTTCAGTCCTCTATGTGCGGCTTAAATTTGTTCTTTTTTCCCAAATAATATTCTGTTATGTTTTTGAATATAGCACACTGTTTGTCTCTTTGAATGATCAGTTGGACGCTGCGTGCCCCGAGCTGGAGTTGGAGCTGTAACACTTTAAAAACCCCAAACTCTGCCCCAGTTTTCATATCACACCATTTAGGTTAACTCTATTGATCATTTGAGCCTTTATGTTGCTTTAATGTTCCACATAAAATGTTTCATAAGCTGTATAATCTGATTAGCCGCAACCAAATCTTGTTTTCCAAAGCTGTTTTTAAAAAGGAACTTCTTTTTGTTGTCTGATGAGGGGACAAATGTTGCTGATGTATATAACTACTGATTTGCAAGCTGCATGGCTCAGCTCCAGTACTACCTGCATGCATCGCCACATGCTTGCACACTCCACAAACCGTTTCTGTCAATCTATGTAAACAATGTGTAACGTCTGTTTCAAACACAAAGTTTTGAAGAGTTACGATGAAATCCAACAATAAATGGTTCGTAGCTGGCACCGCTGCCTTCGTTTCTTTCATTTTTACGCCCGATATGCAAAAAGTGACAACGCAGTGCTCACCCATCAGACATTTATTGACAATAATTTAGAATAAATTACACATTTAACTTAAAACATATCAAAATATTACTGTACGGGCTTCATAGAACTACAGTTACACAGTATTTTTTAAGGTTATAACGGTATTTTGGAAATATCTTAAAGGTAAAATTGATAAAGACAACATTTTAACCAGCAGTAGTAACTTTAATAACTTCTGTATGAAAATATACATAAGTTTAAAAATGTTATAATAGTTTTTTTTTATTAACTTTACATTAAATTGATTCTGTTCCCAGTTTTCTAATTGTGAACTGATATTTACAAACATTGTTTTTAAATAATTAAGTTTTTTTGTTGCCAATTAAAGGCACAGTCACGTCTGAATCCATAAATAAAGAAAAAAACAACAATAAAAATCGATATTTCGGTAAGTTGAAGTATCGTGGGAGCTTCACGGCCGCACCGTCATCTGCAGCAGCATCACCTGCCGGTTCTCCGTGGGGTGAGACTTGTTGATGTGTCTCGTGAGGCCCGGTGAGCTGAAGAACGTGGACGGACAGTACTTGCAGGTGAAGATCTGCTGCTGGTGCGGCTCGCGCTCCACGCCGCCCTCCTCTCTGCGCGCGTGGAAAACGTCCGCTCTGCCGCGTCCTCCTCCGACCAGCAGTTCGTCCCTCATCGCGTGCCACAGCCGGTGTTTGTCTCTGATCTCCACCGACGGGAAGCGCGCGCCGCACAGGTGGCACAAGAACACCTGGGTCTGGCTGTAAGGTGGTGGCGGCGGGGAGGCGCGCGCCGTCATCTCGTGCGCGGCCAGGTGTTTCTTCAGGTACGCCAGGCGGCGGAACTTCTTCCCGCAGTAGCGGCACTCGTACACCTCCTCCTCCGGTAAGGACTGGAGGAACGGTACCGGCGGCTGCTCGTCCGGGTTGAGCAGCCGGAGTCCGGACTGGGGGCTGTCCGCGGCCCGGACGTGCTGCTGCAGGTCCGGGTTCCAGTCGGGGCGGAGCAGCAGCACGCGCGCGGAGCTGTCCAGCGCGCCGTGGTGCTGCAGCTCGTTCTCTTTGCCCTCGGACTGTTTGTCCTGAACCAGAGTCCGGGTCTCCTTCAGCGCCTGGCTCCGGGTCGCCTCGGGACCCGGGTTGTTCGCCGGGCGGGGTTTGTGCCAGCGCCGGTGGGAGGCCAGGTTTGCGGGGCAGCTGAAGACTTTGTCGCACTCGGGACAGCGGTACTCCACGCGCACTATGCGGGAGCACTTGTGCTGGGCCAGGGAGAACGGGTCCGGGTACTCCTCCTTACAGAGCTGACAGATGAACTCCCCGAGGGGCTGAGTCCCGGACGGCTTCTCCCGCGGCCTCCTCAGCTCCGGACTCTCCTTCTTGATCCGCAGACCCAGAACCGGAGACGTGGTGACCTCGTCCTCGAAGTTCAGCCTCCGGTTCGGTTTGGGTTTCTTGGGCTGCTTCGTGACGAGTTTCTGGTCCGCGTCGAGGAAGGAGCGTTTTCTCTCCGCGCGCTCCTGCTCCATCAGTGTCAGTGAGGGGAACAGGTGCACGCGGGCCAGGTTCGGGTCGAACTTGTGGCTGTAGGGCTGCGCGTGCAGACGGAGCCTCTCCATGGAAGCGGGCGCGGAGCTGTGCGCGGGTCTCACCAGGAACGGCAGGTCCCGCCTGTCTGCCGCCTCTTGTCGCTCCGGCAGCCGCGTGCTGACCGGTGGCACGGGGCTGCGGGACGCGTTTGAAGCCGGGTCGCACGCGGGCGGGTAGAAGCAGGGGAAGTCTCCGTCCACACTGAGGACGTCCACCTCCGTGTCCGGCAGCTGCGCGCTCCGCTCGGCCTCCGCCTCCAGCGCAGACTCCACGTGCGGGCTCCACACCTCCCTGACCAGACCCTCGCTGGACTCCGGGAGTTCTCCATCCGGACGGTGGAACGGGAAGACCTCGAGCTCGGGGACCTCCGCTCGCGCGCCGCTCCTCTCGTCCTCGCGCGCCTCGAGTTTCCCGTCGCTGCGCGCCCTGTATGACGCCGAGCCGCGCCGGTTCCTCTTCACCAAGAATCCTCGAGGCATTCTGATGACGGCGAGGCGCGTGGGACCTGCGGCCGGGAGCAACCACTCGTGTCTGATCCCACTTTGAAGTGGAGCTTTGAAGTGGCGGAGAGGGAGGGATGGAGAGGCGCGCGCATGTTGGAGAGCGCACGAGAGAGAGCGCGGCAACAGTTTGTTTTGCTGTTCACACAGGTGTTCCTCAGGGCAGTTGTCCCCAAATCTCATTAACACCTAAAACTGTTTTGTGACTTATTCCTAACAACATCTGTCAAAAATGGCCCTCATTTTTATATTTTGCTTCCAAATAAAACATTCCTGTTGAGTCAACAGTTCACGAGGCAAGTTTATTTTTCTGTTTTAGTCTTTAGTTTTAGACTTTAAAAAACAAACATCTGCAGCAGAGAAAGTCTGAAGTACTTTCTTTGGTAAATGTTTTGAATATTCTTAAATTATTATTATTATTATTCTAACCTACAGCCATAAATTTAAACTTTGATAGAAAATGCACACGTGTACTGATTGCCTCATTTAATGATCAATAGAGAATATGGGAAAAACAGAGCTCAGTTTTAGACAAAATGATTGACAGCTGTCAATGTCCCCCACACAAACCCCGCCCGTAACCACGCCCCAAATACACTCTCCGCCCATAATCCCACCCACTTTCCTCTTGGAGTTAGTGACAGGTTTGGGGATTTGACAGCTGTCAAAGTTTGATGAAAGATGAACTCTCTAATTTGCCTGTGAAATTTTACTTTAATTATTATTTGAGATTATTAAACTTTTACCAAAAAATATTTTCATTATTTGAGGTAATTTTGAAGCAGTCAGTAAATTACAGCCTCTCCTTGTTCGGAGCTCATTAGGTTTGTGCTAAAATAACCTTTAAAACTAAACAAATAACAAGATGCAACCTTCATAACATTTTATTTTCATAAACTGAGCTGCCACGGCCTAAATAAAGTTTAATCATTATTATTATTATTTTGTTTTTTTATGCTAAATAAGTGACAGAAAAGTCCCAGCTGGTCTCAAAGACAACACCTTAAATGCTTTGCTGTTACATTTTTATTCTCTTTAAAGCTATTGATTCCTTTTTGAGAGTTATCAATACTTCATTTCCCCTGTTTTCTTTTTGCAGGTTGTTGCTCTCGCCTGTCGCTGGTGAACGAGAGCTATTAAACCAGAACCGGTTCGTTGGGGGTCACTGGGACCTCGGATGCTGATCAGATATTTTTAATGACCGTTCATGTTCCACTGAAGTGTGATTAGAGGCTGTGAGAATGTGTGTGTGTGGTCTTATCTCTGCAGCAGGTCAGAGAGATGGACATTTATGTGTGTGTGTGTGTTTGAAGGACTGTTCACACCCCCCTCCCTGAGAATCTGCTGTAGCTGATAAGAGATCGCAGAGAGATTCATCCATCCATCCTCCCAACAACCCCCCGGGGCCATGAGGCCCCTCTGAACGGGCCAGGAGCTCCGGCCAGCCGGCGAATGAGGCCGCCTGGGGGATAAACAGGAGGGCAGGGAGGAGATGGATGGAGGAGAGTCAAACAATAAAAACTAATTAGGCTTTCTGCTCCTTTAGCTGTTTCTCAGCTGCGAGGAAACTGACCCCACAGATAATATGGACACCCACAGTAAACATGATGGACACATTTTAGACCCAAATTCCAGCCACTTTTACTTCATTTGATAACATGACGGGAATGGTTTTTTTTTTGTTTTTTTTCTGCAACAGGATCTTTATTTTATGTGACGTTGAGGCACGTCAAAACGAATCAGACCCCACGATGAGACAAAAGCACAAGCGGCAAATAACCTCGAAAAACGAGCTGAATTCTCTCGGTTGTTCTCCTGTAAAATATATATATATAGATTCAGTGGACAGGCTGCAGGCCGGAGGACATGATGGAGTTTTCATTTTGCATCACGTCGGTGTGCGGTGACGTGGATAATCCTCCAGACTGCAGAAAATGACTATTGATCTGTGCTCCTCAGTCACAAGTCTGTAACTATCAGACTTTATACACAAAATACTTCTGTTTGTCCTTTTTATAAATACAAACACGACTTCCTTTGGGAAACTTGTTTTTTAAGCTATCTGGATGCAGAAACAAATAAATTAAAGTGATTTTATTTTTCCTGGTTGTTTGAAAACTAAAAATATCTGCAACAGATAAAAATAGATTCAAATTATTTTGTAAAAGTATTATTATTATTATTAATTGTAGTATCTGTTTATGAAATTGGGGAGCAATCGGTCTCATCTGTTAAACCAATTTTAAACATAAAACTTTAAAAACTTAAGCTTTATTTTTATTAACTGCATCAGTTTATGTAAGTAAAATGCAGATGGATTAATAATCAAATTCAGATTAAGGTGTAGATTATGAGTTAATCTTTATCCTTTCATTCGGTTTTTAAAAACCTCACTTCACAAAACAAAAAACAAATTAACGAACTAATCCTCTAATTTACTCACTTAGATTAATTAATTACAAATGTTAAAAAAATAATAATCTGAAACTCATTTAAATGTTTCTGCCTTCAATTTTCAAAGTTTTATTTGTCGCCCTCTAGTGGACAAGATATGCATCGGTTTAAGATTTGAACATGAAACTGTTCCCAGCTGGGCATAATTAGATTAATTAGTAATATCAGTTTGTAATAATTTAGTTTAATAGTTTAGGTTTAACACAGGCGTCTGCAATCTGTGGCTCTGGAGCCACATGGGGCTCTAAAGCCTTTTGCATGGACTCATAGTTTTGACCATAAATAATATGAAAATTAATATTATTGATACAAATAATTCAAACAGAAAAATACATTTTTTACAAATATGAGAATGAATTAAATTTGACAGATAGAGGCTAATAACACTTTAATTAAGACATGCTAGGAGTTTGTTAGCCAGTTAACTTCGTTAATCCATTCTCCAGCCACACAGAGGGATGTTTCTCTGAAATCTGCCAGAAAACTTTTTTTTTTAAAACCAGACACAGAAAAGATTATCATAAAGCACACTTTTGCAAACATATCATGGAATATGTGTTAAAAGGGGGATTCTGGAACAATACTTAAAATCAACTTGATCATTAAAAAAGTCAAGTAAATTAAGGTTTCTTGTATACAGCTCAATTTGATTTCAAACAATTTTTTTAGGTTCACTTTAACTTCAGATTATTTTACTTCAAATTGTTCAATATTTGAATTTTATGCAATAAATGTCAACGATTTATCATAGATTTCTGGTTTTATAATGTAGCAAACAACTGTTTTCAATGCAGTTTTTTTTTTTAATATAACACTTAATTAGATTTTTATTGTTATTTTTCAGCTTGTAGCACAGCGATCATCCCCTTGGACTGGAAAAGGCCCTTCATTGGGCTGAAAGCGGCCCACTGGCTGCAAGTTGATGATCACTGTCGCACGTTTTGCAGCTCTGGACTCTTACCTAGTGAGTGAGGAGGCAAAATATATATAATTTAATTGTGAAAGTTCCAGTTTCATGATTTTATGGTCAATTTGTTCAGATGAACGGTCCTCTTCCGCCCCCTGGTGGTGAATATTAACCCTGCAGTGAAAATGAATCTGGCGTTCACACACAGATGTGACTCATCAGATCAGGTTTGTTTCCATCCTTTTAAAACTGCCTGGCTTCTCTCCAGATGTGATCTGACCCGGGAGTTTCTGCAACATGGTCACGATTTTTCACGAGCAACTTCCCAACGAGACGAAAAATTCAGGTGTTCGATAAAGGACGTTTAGACTGGTGCCTTAAAAAATGAAATAAAATCCCAGCAGAGATGGTTGAAGCAGATTTTAAAGATGAAAACAAACGGTTAGCGATGTTGCACAGAAAGCTCGTTTATTGACTTGATTTGTTTGTGTCCATGATGATGTCAAACGATAAAAAAATACCAAAATTATTTATAAAAACTTGGAAATCCCAAGAAAAGTCAAAGAAGTAAAAACATTTCCAGTAAATAAGGTCAACATTAGTGTCATAAACTGACAATGGCAACGTTTTTCTTTAGTCCTTTGTGGGAAATCTTCACCTTTTGACACAATTATTGAGTTCTGTGGTTGTTTGAACTCAATAACAGCAGTAGCAGGTAGCTGTATCACTTCCAGCAGGTAACTGATAATATTCCTGCTAGATTAACTATGTAATGTAGAACAGGCAGTAAACATTTACAGAATACCATTTTTTTTCAGGTAATCTGTTTTCATTGATGCAACGATTTCACATCAAAAATCTGAATATGTAACATTTTGAGTCGCAGTAAAGGATTTCTGCAATCGTTTTTTAAAAAAGTGATGCTGTAAAAATTCCACAAATATTCTTGTGTGTGAAAGAAACATTCAGGAAGTGGATTGAGGAGATAACCAGTTTACTGTACAGCTCCAGAAGCGATACAGAAAGAAACAGGTAAATAATTAGCTGAACTCATTTTGGCGTTCTTTGTTTAACGTGACCTTCTGAGTCACTGTTCACTTCGATGTTTAATGAGTCAAAGTGACTCACGGTGAGTCATTTTTGACCATAAGTATTCTTTAATCCACAGAAATCCCAGGGATTCCCACTGACACAAACTGGGCACGTTTCGCAGGTTGGTGAACAATCACACAAATATGTAACAGAGTTTCTCTATGGAAGAATTAAAACCTACAACTTTATGTTCAAAGTTCAATCTCGATAATCCAGGTGAACAATCCAACAAGGTTCAGTCAGGTCATCTGGACAGTTTATTTTTTGTTGTTCAGATGTTTCATCCTAAGGACTTCATCAGTCTGAGAAGCCACAAACACGCTGAGTCCCACAGGCAGCATAGCGGAGTTTGCTGGTGATAAGATGGTTTCTGGGGCCCGCCCTCTCCCCCGTCCTGTTTGTGGCTCCTCGGACTGATGCAGTCTTTTGGACGAAGGACGAAACGTCTCAACAACAAAAAAAGAAACCATCCAGATGACCCGACTGAACTTTGTTGGATTTTCTACCTGGATCATTGAGCATGAACTTTGATGTTTTGAACCACTTTGGCTATGGCTGCCTCAGAGGAGTTGACAGGGGAGAGGGCGGGTCCCAGAAACCATCTTATCACCAGCAAACTGGTTGGTCCACGATGGGAGTGTGCTGCTTGTGGGACTGAGTTTGTTTGTGGCTCCTCAGATCGAAGAAGTGATGAAGGATAAAACGTCTCAACAACAAAAAAAAAGAAACCGTCCCGATGACCTGACTGAACTTTACTGGAACTTTAAATGTTTAAAATAAATAGTTTTAAGTAGTTTATTATTCCCCAGGAGGAACAAAGACTTCCTGATGTACCTGAAACCTCATACTGCGAAACAATAATGTGTCTGTTAGCGAAATATCCTTGAACGTAATTACACCCTGCGTGTGTTTCAGTTTCTTCACGTCACATGTTCTAGTTGTACGAACAGAGATAATATAAACCATAACATGATGACTCGGGGGTTTATGCAGAAAATCCTGGAGAAAGCACTGACAGCGCACAAACACCCAGGCACGAGTCACGTCTGCATCTGTCCGGAGCTCCTTTAATGCTTTGGCTGTTTCTGAAAAATGTATCCGTCATTTGAGGCACAAAATAAAGAGAATCAATCACTATTTTTTAATCAGCAGAGCCAAAATGGCTTCTTATGACTGGCTTTAAAATAAAATAGTTACCGGTACTTCTTTTAAATCGAATTCACGCAAAAACATGTCTGAAAACAGAAACAGCTGATCGAACTTTGCAACGCTGGTTTAAATCTGCAGACGTGTTTAATTCTTATTTTATAACAATAAAGGCGATAAAATAAGCGCTGGGAGTGAAGTGTGAGCTTCCTGGTTGAACTGGTCCCACAGTGTGAACAACAGGAAGCTGGAGTTTCCCCAGCAGCCCTCTAGAACAGCGTGTTCGGGCCCATGTTTGTTTATCGGGCTCGGTCGCAGCTCTGTGGCCTCAACGAGAACTTGAGCGACTCCATTTCTGTTTTCTGCAAAAGAACTAAAGGAGTTTGGTGTCTGGAGTTTATTCTACCAACACCATTTCAAACATCAGTGCTCTGTAACATCTTAAACACTTGACCATGTGGTCAGGATGGGAAGGGTGTTGGGGAAAGTCCACTGACTGCACGCCCGCTGCCTTGCTCACGCCTTTGTCACGTTGTACAATAAACTGAAATTGCTCTTTAACTTTTGGAGGAAACTCCTGCAGCAGGATATTGTGTTGGCGTCATTGTGTCAAATGTATGAGGACCGTATTCAATTAAAGACATATTGAATTAAAACGCGCATTTGTCTACCTCAGTTTGTGATTCTACTGTAACTGTTTATGTTTAGTTTAATTTTGTCTCAAACTTTAGTCAAAAATTGAATTGAAGTTGTGAGGCCTACTTGTCTAAAATGTTCATTTGGTAGAGTTTAATGAAACTTAGGTATTAGCAGCTGGATATAGATCTACACCTGATTAACTTTTGAGGTCAACTCCTTTCAAGATGGCTAACACAGCTGATAGTTTAGCAAACAAAATAAATGGTTATAACTCAGCCATGTTTACATATAATAAGCTGAAATTTATTGAGAGTAGCTGAGACTCATCCCCAAAACATGCTCTGAGCACTAACTGATTGTAAAAGATGTGTTTCTAAAAGTGCACCATTAACTAGTCCAGCCTGCTATCTCTGTCTGTTAGCAAAATAGCTCATGAACCACTGTACACACCATACCATTTTATTTATAGAGCACTTTAAACAGGGACAAAGCCAACCGAAGTGCTGTACAGACAGAACAACAGGTAACACACAAAGCAAAATACAAAATGAAGTAAATCAGAATATAGACATAAAAACGATGCAGAATTTAATGCAGAACTGTACAGAATTTAATGAGATTTTCATATGGTAATTATTGGATGTACATTGACAGCTGATTAACTTTTGGAGTCAACCCAATGCAAGATGGTTGCCACAGTCAGCTGGTTTTAAGAAAACAAAAACAGTAACTCAGCCAATGTTAAGTTTGGTGTGATAGTAACTGAAAACAATCCCTAACAAATACTGTAAGCTAGCACGGTTGTTTATAATGTCAGTTACAAGGTTACTTTGGTAACATTGAGGACCGAATGGCTTTAGAGCAGCGGCCACTTATAGCCCGCGAGCCGTCTCTTTGCCCGGCGTCTTGCAAAGGTTTAAAATGTGTAGAAACGACATGAATTGTGCAGCAGATGGATCCTGCACGTCTTTTGCTCGCTGAGCAACGTTTACATGTCAGAAATCCCCAGTCCGAGCCAGGGATCTGAGTTAAAATAGGTGAAGCAGTCCTGGAAATCCCCCGCCTTGTTGTTAAGCTCCGCCCGCCGCGGCAGCCATTCAGAGAGGGTACTGTTCCTCCGAGCGACGGAGTCACAAAACAACCGAGTCCCGCACTGCACGGATCTTTATAATCACTATGGATCTCCACCGGATCAGTTTGTTGAACCAAATGGATTACAACCGGGAGTCTAAAGAGGGGAAGGGGGACCCGTCGTCGACCGACGAGCGGCTCGACAGCGGCGTGAATTCCATGGAGGAGAAGGATTTCCAGGCGGTGGCGGAGGAGATCCAGCGGCTCCAGCTGGAATCCGAACACCAACAGCGGGCTCCCGCTGCACACGAAGAACCGCTGCACGACTGGCAAACACAGATCACAGAAGATGGAGACACGTAAGTTTCACCGAGCACGATGGATGTTTAGAAGTTTTTAGATGAGTGGGGGGGGGGGGACAGCCCGTTGGGTTTTCGGTCTCGTCCATGAGGGCCTTCCTCCTCCGTAGGGAATATTTTACTTAGTGCAGTTTTTAAGCGTTTGGTTCGTAATAAATTGGAAAGAGTTACACGTCTTTATACGCAAATATTGTATTGTTCAAAATGAGACTTTGCTGTAGTGTTTCGAAGAAGCTCGTAAACAAAAACAAACAAAAAAAAAACCAAATTGTCAGCAGGGGTCAGAGTGGGAAAGTCCCAGGCGCGCCGCCAAGGAATCCATCCGATGCGCGTTACTGTGAAAAACAACAACACAATGCAACAATGTGAAACTACAGAACGAGAAACTTAAACCCTGCGTTTAAACGTCTTGTGCTATTAAAAACTAAGTGGATGCTAAATTTAAAGGGCACCCTAAGCATTCTTATGTTGCAATGTTATGACTCCGCCGCGTTATATAGTGCGCATTCGTAGCTCGTGCAACGTTAGCTTGTCTCAAAACGCTTAATGGAGCAAACTGCTTAATCTAATAAACATTTGCAACTTGATCATTATGAAACGCAGTACGGGAAATGTTTATTGTGAATAGAAGAAGCGTACAACCAACTTTGACTTTGTTTAAACCGTGTTTGTGAAGCCCAATTACGGCCTTTAACTGCGACAAGTGGTGTTGTACCGAAAAAAGGCACCTCGTTACCGGAAGTGCCTTTCAGGACCCTTGTATTTTATTTTACACTTTGTTAAACGTGATTTTCCAGTTAGGAGTCTAACCTGCTGTGAATACAAAATGTTTTTTAAATAAATATAAATTGTAGATCATTCTTTTCTTGGGGGTAATTAACAAAACTTGTTTTTATTGATTTGACTTGATTACTAACAAAATATCCTGATGCACGCTCAATAGTCCAGGTAGAAAAATCTAAAAAGTTAAATCTGGTCCTCTGGACATAAAAAAAAAAATTGTAGAAACGTTTTGTCTTTCATCCAAAAGATGAAAGACGAAACGTTTATACAATTTTTTTTTTTTTTTGAATGTCCAGAGGACCAGATTTAACTTTTTTAGATATTAACAAAATAGTTTTCAAATGGGCTGTTTTGGCACAAGGGTCATTTATATCTGGTGGTCACTAAATTAACATAATTACTTCAAGCTAAAGAAGTAAATTTGTAGCAAAAAAAACAAACATTTTTTGATGCATTAAGTGAAATCTGGTGTTGATTGTCAGACAGTGCCTTATTATTTTGTTTTTAAGGGTATATTCTTTTTGCTCCTGTTGTGCAACAAGTTTATTTTATTGTTGGTCTCTGCAGGCTGCTCCACATGGCCATCATCCACGAGGCCAAAGACTACATCAGAAGAATGATCGACCTGTCGAAAAACACACAGTTCCTCAACATACAGAACGACCTGAGACAGGTATATACGTTTAAATCTTCTTTTGTATTTTTTACATTCGTTGCAGCTTTTTGTGACCAGCATTAATTAAAAACAAATGCACTTTATAGGAAGATTAATTAAAATTAAAATGTCTGTCCTCTTCCCTCCAGACTCCTCTCCACTTAGCAGTTATAACAAACCAGCCGGATGTGTGTCACAGCTTACTGGTGTCTGGCTGTGACCCCACGCTGGTGGACAACAGCGGAGACACGCCTCTTCACATCGCCTGTCGCCACGGTAACCTGTACTGCTTCAGTGTCATCACGCAAAACTGCCAAATGGAACATCTACACACAGCGATGGCTGCCTTCAATTATAATGGTGAGGTTTGCAGCATGGGTACGATCAGCTTGACATTAAAATGTTTGATCCGAGTTCAGCTGAAGGGATTCTAGAGTGAATAATTTGCTGTGGGTGCTTCGATACATCTAGATGTTGTTCTCATCTGCTGTTTAGGGGAAATCGGGAACAAAACTAGAGTTAAATGACTTGCTGGTCTGGAAACATATATTGAATGTCTTGCTTTATGTTTACGAAGGTCAGAACTGTCTTCATCTGGCTTCATTTCATGGTTTCCTCTCACTGGTGGAGAACATGGTGGATCTTGGCGCGGACATTGATGCAAAAGTAAGCAAAGCTCCCAGTTTAAAATCCTCACTGGACCAATATAGAATACGTCTTGGTTCTGTATGTTGCACCTCTGTTCTGATGAAGACTCTTTGGTGTACAGGAGCAGCACAACGGTCGCGGTGCGCTACATCTGGCTGTGGACCAACGGAATCTCTCTCTGGTCAAACTCCTGCTGAAAAAAGGCGCAAACCCCAACCTCCTGACCTTTGGAGGCCACACCCCCTTCTACCTCACCACGGGTTTAGAAGACTGCGACATCAGGAAAGAACTGTACTCGGTGACCCATCCAGACCTAAGGGAGCTTACTGACAGCGAATCGGACCTCAGTGAGGAAGAGGAGGACGACGAGTCGGACATGGTGAGTTGGAACTGGCTTAAATGGAACTTGAAACATGCAGACTTGAGTGTTTAATCCTTTATTTTGTTCATGTGTGTCTGCAGGCCTTTTATAATGACATTCAGTGGAATGGACATTAGAAGGAAATGATAACGTGGAGGTTACAGAGGCAACAAGCTCCGATGACTGTGGCAAAGTTTGGCACATGGATGAATTCTGCAATGCCATGTTGTGAGAATGACCGTGGGGGTGATGCGGCTTGAGTGTTCCTGAAACGGGCCGAGCAGGCAGCTCAAAAACAAACGAGACTGGCGACTGCAGGGGAGTAAAGGACACATTATAATAAGATTTCTGTTTCAAAGGACCACTTTTATTCTGTGGACACCGAAAGTCGTCATCAGAAAGAGGAACGGGGAAAAACCATCCACCCAGAAGGATGTACCTGCAACAGCTCTGTATGATACTGTAAATGCTGTGTATACAAAGATGTATTTTTTAATGGAAGCTGTGACTGTGTACAGTTTAGCAGGATGTATATGTCAGACAGCAAACAGTTTCCAGCACACTCCAGTTAAATTAAAACACTCATATTTAACTGTTAAAGCCTTTTTTGTTAATATTTATTCTTGCAAATTTGTGGGGATTTAACCCAAGAAAACAGGTTGTTGCATAAGAGCTTAAATAAGTCATTTAAAACATTTTATTGACAGCACTGGACAGGTTCATCCCTTGAATTATTATTATTTTTTTTTAATGCCCGAATGAGTCAAAGATTAGCAGGTAAGTGGCTTACAAACAAGTCTGAAAACTGTTTAAAATATACCACTACAAGTGTAAATGCTTGGAAAGAAAACTTGAGGACGCAATAGTTTTTAGATGTAAACTAGACTTAATATAAGAGCAGAACCAGTATATAATCAGCACCACAAAGCTGGAATTATGCAGGAAATTACCACCAAAGTTCCCTCTAAGCTGCACACCTGCACGCATCTCTGCACACAAGAAAATTATGCTGTGCAGTTGCCATCACGAGCACCCACACTGGGACATTTCCCTGTGGCCTAACTCACTCAGTGACCACCGAGGAGCTGGACCAAAGGCTCGGTTTAGGTCGTGCACGATTATTTTAAATAAACAATCCATGCGGCTCACTCGGGTGTGTGCCAGCCTGAGTGAGTGGCGATGGGGACAGACTCCTCTCCCCGAGGCTGTCGCAGCAGAGACGTGCACACAAGAGCCCACTCTAGCCTGTAATGACTCGCGCTCGCAAGGGTTATATGTTCGTGCGCACACTTCTGTATTTTAGCTTGTTTGGGGGTGTTCAAGTACATCTAAATTTTAACTCGGCACCCCTAAAAAATAAACCATCATTAGGAATTAGTAATGAAACTCAGTTTTCAAACCTTAGATGCACCAAAATACTGAATAAACATGGACTAAATAACAGTCTTGAACAGGCCAGTAAAATATATATTACTTTGCATGAGTCAGAGCCTCAACGCCTCTTGTCAATCAATCCAGTAGGCATGTCAGCAACTGACCAATCAGCGATCACAATTTGTTCTGAAGTGAAACGCCCCTTACCTGCTGGAGCTCCACCCCCTTTCCCTCCAACAACATTGTTGGTATTTTGCATTACGAACGCTTTGTGGTCAGAGGGATTTCAGGAAAAATCCTCATAAACAAAAAGGTTAAACATCGGTGAACGTAATTCAAAGTACAGCATTACCCTGAGCATTTAGAGGGTGAACTACAATTTATTCCATTTCCAAAACTAAACGGAGTCTGAATAAATGTAAAAGATAAAATGGTGATAAACAGGAAGTACCACATGTTCTTCTGTATGAAGGTGATGGCACGTAGGCTAAATCCTCCATTTTCTTTCATGATTACATCATATGCTTAATGGTTAAATTAAAGCTAGTTGTGCTTTGGTTTGTGTGATTTGTATGTGGATACATGTTGCACCCCAAAAGGTCCGATCCTAGAATCGTCCCTGCTCTGAAACCAATCTTCCAACCACGATTCATGATGTTTTTACTGGTTCATGAAAGGCTGGTACCCATTAATGGATCTGATGACCTGTAGTCTGCTCTGGTCTATTGTGTCCAAAGATTATAGTGACTCTGGTTGTTGAGTGGATCTTCTTAAAGAACATGTCAACACATAAGAACTTTTTACTAAATAACTAATAATGCACCCAGGCTGTTAACACATGTTTTCTTGTCTCTGCAGTGAATTGAAGAGTGGTTGTTGGAAAAAACAGTCCGTGTCACATTTAGTTTACATTTCTCTTAGTTCATACCTTAGATCTTATTACTGTTTCTTTTACATTTAAATACTTTTTTTGATGTAACTTGGACCCTGTGTACACATTTTCATTCCACCACATGTACCACATGTGGTGTGTATGACAAATAAAGAACCTTGAATCGTTGAATTCAGGTGACCATGCCACAACACGTCTACTGGAACTCCACAAGGGTCCAAGTCTCCTGATCCTCCAGGAAAAATCTTTCCTAAAACTCAACTGTGTCATCATTAAGGTTTTTCTAAAGTGGAACCTGCTGATGTGAGAGAACAAATAAATGACCACAAACAAACTTTTTATCACATAAAAATGGATAAGATTAGGAACGAGGTCATCAGAGGTGCAGCACAGGTTGAAGAACTGGGAGATAAAGTTAGAGAGACCAGACTGAGATGGTTTGGACACGTCCAGAGGAGGGACAGTGGGTATATTGGTAGAAGGATGTTAGAAATGCAGCTTCCAGGAAAAAAAGACATGTGGATGCAGCTAGAGAGGACGTGGAGCTAGTTTGAGTGAGGACAGAGGATGAGGAAAAAGCTGAAAGAACAAGTTTAGAAAGAAAAATGGACTAAAATGGACAACGGTGAAACTCCAGTTTGACAATGACCTCACTCCATGTTTTTTCATTTCTATCTTTTAAGACTTTATAATATATTTTAACAAACAAGTGTTCAATTTGTCTATCAGTTTTTTTTTTTCTATAAATCTGGTTTTGTTTACCAGGTAATATTATCAAACGGCTGCATTATCTGATTAAAATTATTACTTTAAAAATATTCAGTGTCTCTAAAAACATTATTTTTACCTACAATTTTTGTCTTAACGTCAATTGTCATTAGTGTTTCAGGATTTTTTTTTTAGATATTTAGAACCAAATCTCGAACTTCCAGTTGACAAACTAAACCAGTGAGGTGGAGTGATTTTTTTTTAGGAAAAGTAGTTACTTTTGTCACAGAATGTTGGTAAATTTTGGTAAGACAAACCAGACGATGGTGGCTGGGTTGAATTTCAGATTAGATGTAGAACAAGAAGAGTTCTTTGGACGTTAAAACATGACCAAAACACAAAAGTACGTTACTGACTTTTTCTTTTTCTTTTTAACAGCGTCAGCAGATGAGATGTTGGTTTTAGATTATCCAGAACTGATGACTCTAACATGTAATTCAAGTGATGTTGATGTGAGTGACTAAGATATTTATAAACTTCTTAGATTCTAGCTGAACAGTTCTGCTCTGGTGGTTGAGTGTGGTAGACAGTTTCTAATAGATCTCAGGTTTGTGGGTTCAAATGTGGGTTTAAATTTGACCATTGAACCGCTTTTAGTTAAAACGGCACAACTGAAAAGATAAATGCATTATGAGAAACATTGTGAGCGTGAAAGGTGCTGGTGGTGCAGCGTGGCAGACAGCTGATCGCAAATATGAAGGTTTTAGGTTCAAATTTTACCAGTGAACCACTTTTAGTCAAACCAGTAAAACTAAAAAGATAAATGTGCCAGGAGAAATGTTCAACATGTGAAAGGTGCTCATGGTTCGGTGGGGAAAACAGATGTATTTAGATCTGAGGTTTGTTAGTTCAAATCTTACCACTCAAACATTTTTAAAGTCAAGTCAGTAAAATTAAAATGATAAATGCACCCGGAGAAATGCTCAAAGTGTGGAAGGTGCTCATGGTTCAGTGGGGTAGACAGCTGTCTTTAGATCTGAGGTTTGTTGGTTCAAATCTTACCACTCAAACATTTTTAGTCAAATCAGCAAAATTAAAAAGATAAATGCGCCCGGAGAAATGCTCTGAGTGTGAAAGGTGCTGGTGGTGCGGTGGCTCTGTGCACGCTTGTAAGGTGCAAGCTGTGCAACACTGGGTTCAAGACCTGCCTCCTGCCAGTACCTGGATCATGCTAAACAGTCCCACAGTAGTGGGTCAGGGAGGGGGCCGTGCCTCCTCCCTGAAAAATTCTCATCTGAAAATGGAGGGTTATGGAACTTGACACGACATTTTCCGCCAGAAAAAGTAAGAAAATACTGGGAAATATTTTGTCTTTTTTAAGTCATATGAATTGCAAAGAAGTATAAAATCTATTTGTGTTTAAGTGTGTTAAGTATACTTTCTTCATTATTTATAATGTTTCAAAATGTTTTATGAAAGCATGTTTAGATTAAATTAGTCAAAGAAAGATGGTATGTTCTGCTTACTTTCTGAAATGTTGACTGTATTAAATGTTAAAATTGCATGTTCTCAGGTTAATGACATAAGTCACTCAATATTTTACAAAAATTTACTTGAATATGAACTAAATATTCTTTGCTTTTACTATAATAAAAATTGTTAAATATACACAATTACAAAACTATTATATGCAGCTCTCATAACTTTGAAAAGACAAAATATTTCCCAGCATTTCTTTACTTTTTCTGGCGGAAAATGTCGTGTCAAGTTCCATAACCCTCCATTTTCAGATGAGAATTTTTCAGGGAGGAGACACGGCCCCCTCCCTGACCCACTACTGTGGGACTGTTTAGCATGATCCAGGTACTGGCAGGAGGCAGGTCTTGAACCCAGTGTTGCACAGCTTGCACCTTACAAGCGTGCACAGAGCCACCGCACCACCAGCACCTTTCACACTCAGAGCATTTCTCCGGGCGCATTTATCTTTTTAATTTTGCTGATTTGACTAAAAATGTTTGAGTGGTAAGATTTGAACCAACAAACCTCAGATCTGAAAGCAGCTGCAGTTGTCTACCAGACTGACCCAC